ATTACAGGCTGAGAAGTTAGTTTTTAAAAGTTAGCAGTTACAGTGATTGTTCAAAGTTCCACCCCCATCCCCCAATTGCAATCTAGTTCTGGACCATAAAGAAAGCTGACCGCCGAAGAATTGATGCATTTGAATTGTGGTGGTGGAGGAGGCTCTTGAGAGTCCCCTGGACTGCAAAGAGAAAAAGCCTATCCATCTTGCAGGAAATCAACCCCGAGTGCTCACTGGAAGGACAGATCCTCAAGATGAGGGTCCAGTACTTTGGCCATCTCATGAGAAGAGAAGACTCCCTGGAAAAGACCCTGATGTTGGGAAAGTGTGAAGGCAAGAGGAGAAGGGGACGACAGAGGATGAGATTGTTGGACAGTGTCTTCGAAGCGACCAACATGAATTTGACCGAACTCTGGGAGGCAGTGGAAGATAGGAGGGCCTGGCGTGCTCTGGTCCATGGGGTCACAAAGAGTTGGACACGACTAAATGACTAAACAACAAGAATTAAAAAAATATTTTCTTCTCTGCTTTTCAAAACTCAAACATCTGTCAGATATGCTTTGACTTGGATTCTTGCACTGTGCAGGGGTTTGGACTTGATGGCCTTATAGGCCCTTTCCAACTCCATGATTCTATGATTCTATGACCTCTCCTTGTTGTGATTGGAAGTATTCTGCAATGACCTGGCCTTGAATGGACAATGAAGATTCATTTGCTTTATAAAGGACCTGCTCCCTTTGGGGGGGGGGTGTATGAAAACTGCTAGAACTAATTTGTTGCTGTGGAACATTACTGCTGCCTGCAATTTTGAACTCTCTTTAATGAGGGTTTTTTAAGAGGGTTGTCACAACAGAGCATTACACTTTGAACTGCTATACCACCAGCTGATTTTCTCGGTAGGTGAGCTTTGTGCCTGGGGACCTGGCAACCTTAGTTTACCCTGCTTAAGAATTTCATTTCAGACTTTGGAGGACCCCCTGAGTTAGATACCATCACTCCTCCTCACTCTTTCCATCCATTTCTGCTCCTGGTTTCTGGTGAAGTCGATTGGGAGTTGCAGTCAATAACCAAAAATAACTCTCTTCATCAGTTGCTTGAAGTGATCGTCCTACTCTGCCTATTTTTGTGACTGTCCCTGAAGCCTCAACTCTGAACTGTTAAAATATTTGTGGGCATCCCATGGCATAAGAAGAGGTCAAACTGGTGTTATTGAAAACAACAGCAATGGTGTTATTGTCTCAGGATTGTTATGGGTATGACAGGCAGCAGAAGCAGCCGATTGAAGCTGTCCAGGGTGCTGAAATTTCACCCCATGTGTTCAGCAGTGTGGCGTGCCTGTTTAAAGTTTGGCATAAAAGCTAGAGCTTTATTTGCCATCCTGGAAAATTTGGGGTCACCTGTCCCCATATAGTCCCACTGTCAAACAATAAAATTGCTGTTGACGAAGAAGAATTAATTAATTAGTCGACTGGTTTCCTAGTCCCGTAAGCCTTCCGAAATATTTTCAAGGTCAGGTCCATCATGGTGGATTGACGATTTTCTTTTCTGACTGTACAGCTGCACAGAAAGAAGAAGAAGAAAAAAGAGAGAGATGCAACTAGAGTTTTTTTTTGGAAGGATCTTTCCTGTGAACAGCAATTTAAATTTAATCAGATCATCCTAATGTCTTGCCCCATTCACTCCTCCACTTACCTCCATTAGATACAGACCCAGAAGAGTCGTATTATTGTTGGTTGCTTTTTTTCTAAAAAAACAAAACTCCTCAAGATTCATTCTGTATGCTGTTACTCTCCTAATTGCCAATAAACGTAATAAAGAGGAAGACAAATGGCAGTTTGGGCTCCCATCTTCAAGAGGAGAGTTAATTTCAATCATTGTCCAGAGTTATGTTAATCAGCCACCATTTGCTCCCTTTGTATGGAAATACATCACCCTGGATTTAGGAGAAGGGGGCTCCGCTGTTATCTTTGAGTAATGAAAGGATACCGCATGCCAACTCACTCAAGGGCTGCGACATTAACAAGGCCACTTTTTTCTCCTGTCGATTTATCATCTATTAAAGGTGCGCTGCTTTCTAAAGGAACCTCCACCTTGTGCTCTGAAGAGGCATGAATGAATTTCTCATTTATTTTCTGCATGGCTTAAGCCGGAGTTAGAGCCACCTCGCAGCTCCAGAGGTGACAGGCAGCTAGGAAAAAGGTATACTAATTGAGACGTCTCCAGGGAGGGAAGAGCAGAAAACGGGACAAGGTAATTAGGCGGAGAGCATTGCCAGCAGTGCACGTTAAAAAAAAAAGAGAGAGAAAGAAAGAAATCAAATGGAGGAGCATATTAGGGATCCTTATGGAGAGAACAAAAGCCCTCGGGGAATAAAAGGGGAAAGAAAAGAGATATTAGAGGAGAGAAGGCCTAGTTCACACTTGAGGAATAGAGAAGGAAATTATTTTAAAAGGGGGAAACCCGATATGGGGCAAAGAGATTCATGGCTGTAAAGGAAAGAAAGACCACTGCATTGGATGGCTTTGGGGGGAGGAGGGTCCTCTTCATCTCAGACTCTTGCACACTGTCCAGGGATGTTCAATTTGCAACCTCTGAGGGCTGTTGTCCGGCTTACATAGATGTGCGTGCTTTTCCTCTCCATCAAATAAGCGATATAACTTCATGATCCTTGAGAGCTGATCTCCTTGCCCTGAAAAAAATCTGAGGCAATTGGGGGCCAGATTATGATGGCTTGACTTGACTTTGTTCTGGGGTTTTGCTCTTTTTTTGTTGGGGAGGAGAGGGGAACACCCCATAACACAATGACACGGAATACTTGGCCTCTGTTCCTTCTGAGAGTCCGAGAAGGCTCCAGAAGGAGCGCCAATATCTCCTGCCCAGATTTACCGGCTGTCCTTCAAAAGCCTCCAACGAGAGTCAGGACTCATTCTACAACTCCCACTTTCATAGACCGAGACTCTCAGAGCACCCTGTGGCTTGAACAGGGGACCCTCTTGAAAAACTATTCCTTGGGGGTTTGGTACAGGGAACGCAAATCTCCAGGAAGCTCTCGGAGGGAGTTAAGAGCAGTGATCCTGGTCCTGTTGGTTCCCTGCTTGCAATAAAGCCTGTTTTTGGCCATTATGACAACCTGGAATCTTTGGAATCATTGCTGGGAGACTCCGCTGCTCCTGGCACCGCTGGAGGTGGACCTGGTGGTGCTCACATTTAGGTGTACACAAAAGGATGGGTGAGACAGGTTTCCTCCATAGCAGCACCTTGAGCCCATCTGAAAATTCACCAGACAAGTTTGAATGTGGTAAGCTCTAGTGGAGGGAGAATTTGAGGGTGTGGGAGGAAAGTGAACCCTGAGAACCCATGCCTGTAAACAGAATTCTTCCATCCACAGAAGGCAGAGGCTGGCTCCGACCCTTAAGGTCTAGGCCACCTGCTAGACTTGTATTGTGAATTATATGGCAAAGCTATGGGTGTAGTTAATAAATAATGATGGATTCTATTGCATGTTCTTTGCTTGTTCTCAACTACACAGTAAGTGTGTGTAGGACCTTTGGCATTATGGAAATGACAGTGGTGCCTCGCTTTACATTTGCCCCGCATTACGATGAATCTGCTTTACGACGTTCTTCTTGTGATCGCCATCGCAAAGGCATTTGTCTAGAGATGGTGAGGTGCTATGCAATCCAATGGCAACTAGATGACTTGGCCTTTGCTCCACAAACATCCCCTCTCCTGAAGTGCTTCCATTCTTTAAGAGAAGGAAACTGTTCTGAAAAAAAATGCCTTCAGGATGGCAAACCTGGAGATCCCGCTTCCCCTCCCCCTTATGTTGCATGCACCCCTATACATCATTGAATAATTTAAACCCTAAGAGAGACTTAGCATTGCCTGACTTGCTATTACGATGTAATTGCATGAGCACCAGCACTTTTTCGCATTTACAAAGAGGAAAGTTCAAAGAGGAGCTGGTTGCAGAATTTCCAAAGCCACCTAGGGTCAAACTATACATTAAAAATATGCACTTGGCCTGTTTTCCATCTCACAATGCCCTTTTCTATGAGATAAGTATTTGACATTCAGACTTGCAAATTAAGCCCATATTTACCTTCCAGTGACCAATCAGAATGCAAGCTGTTTGGGATGCAAGATATGGAGGTAAAGGAAACCACATAATATGAAAAACAGACAATTTTTACCATTTAAAGAAGGTCCATTTTAAATGATGTGCTATGTGCATTTTCTAGTTTGACCCTATATTTTCCATGGATCTTGAAAGTAATGTAAGTACCTGTACTTGCCACCTAGAGTAGACCTTTGGTCTAGATGGGGGTGGGGTATAAATCTAATAAAATAAAATAGAATAGAATAATGAATTTTTGGGTGCCACTTCTGTAGTGAAATGATCAGAATGCAATTAATTGCTGAACTAGCAATTAAGGAACAGTACTATGTTGGCTTTTAGGATACAGAAAGAAGGGAGCACGGGCAGGTCCAATTCCAACCAAAGAAAAGTATGCACAACTGAGGAGCATCTAATCCTCTCCACCTACAAACAACCTCTAATAAATGAATGAATGAATGAATGAATGAATGAATGAATGAATGAATGAATGAATGAATATATGATTTTTTTTCTGTTTGGGGCAATGAAAGCATAGCAATGTTACATTTTAAAAGTAATGTAATAAGTGCGAGCAACGTTACTGATCTTGATTCAAAATATTCTAGCTACATTTTAGTTGTTTTTAAAATGCACTCTTAAGGCATTTTCTGAAGCCTTTAAACACAGATTTTATCCTGTTCTCTCATCAGGCCCAAGGTTCTTTTTAAACTGAGAAGTAATGGAACAATGATGGGGGTAAATGATATGATGATGGCCATTGGGTTGATAAAGGCAATGATTTACTTTAGGAGCGGGGTTTGCAATGAGTAACATAAGGAATCACTTTTAAATAGTAAAGCTGTAAGCTTGGGTTTCTCAGTATAAATAACCTGATTGTTCCATTCTTTGAAAAAACACACACCGAATACCATCAAGGACCGTTTTCCTGAACACGGTTAAGCAAACAACAATTCCATAGCTTGGTAAGTAGATGTCTTCCAATATTAGCTGTTTATTTCACCGACTTTCTTTTTGAAGAGTCTACCGGGGGCTGTTCCAGGAGGCAGGACCTCAGTGTTATACACAAGCACTGAATCTGATATTTCCCTTGATAACCACACTCTACCTTATTGAGGTTGGAAGTCAGGCAAGGTTCAGTGGCTGTTATAATGCTCACTGTCACCAGTAATAAGTACAAAGGACTCGCTCTAAAAGCCGGCTTATAAAACTTTAAGGAAACTTGGATTGCTTAAGCGAACTTCAGAGGCTCTATGGGAAGGGGCTTGGGTACTTGCCTTGTCTACTTATATTAATTTCACAAAGTCTAAAGGGTCAAGCCATGCAGTTGGCGACACTGATTAATTTATGAAACTCACAGTTGTGGAGCTATCCTATCTACCTACAGCACTTTCCTTAAAACATATCCTCCTCCATCTTTATTTTTCAAAGCTTAAAAAACAGAGAGAGAGATCAATTAAACATTGCTAGACGATTTTTCTCATCTGCTGCCAGGAGATGAAGGTGCTGAGCAAAGGGGGAGGTGGGTGTGGGTGTCATAACATAATCTATCTCCTCCTTCCCGACAACACTGATTTGATGTGACATGCAAGCTATCAAAACTCAATTGTGGGATTTGAACACAATAGGAGGAATGGCAGTTAGAGGGTTAGCACAAGCGGGTTGGCAAATGTGGGTTTGTTTTCCCTATTTTTTTTCTTTTTTTGAAACATGGTTATACTGGTTGCAAAGCTTAACCTTTTTTTAAGTCAAGAGAAGCCACATGTGATCAGATCCTCCTTTTGGGTCACTGGTTACTGAGAACATCACCCTAGTGGCATTTTGGTGTTTTCGCTATGCTATCCCAAACCTATTGGGGAAAGACTTGCCAATCTTGCTGCCACATATATGTATGTGTCCGATTCTGACACTCCAAATATCTCTGAAATTTGGTAATGACCGTGACATTTCTCTCGTAGAGCTGGAATGTGTCAGAACATCCTTCTACACTAGAAGAGGAGCAGGAAAACATCATTGTCCATGGAGGGATTTCTTCAGCAAAGAGACGTGTCAGGTCTCTGACCTTTTGGAGGGTGAAGAGTGAACTGTCCCTGAAGACCCAGGGCTCTTGGAGTGTAGGACGTTCCACCTGTGGATGGAAGCAGCAGGGCCCTAGAATCAGATGAAAGGTGTGGGAGTGACACAGAATTAAGACACAGGCTCAACTAGAGGTGACCAAGAGTGCTCTGCTCCAAAATACTGTATGTCTTCTTGAGAATAGGGCTTTCTGGGGGTTACAGATCTCCTCCAGGGATAGGAAGGGTCCTTCTTCCAGGGAGACTGGCTGCTGAAGTGATAGCATCTGTACTTGAGTGGGGGTGAAGATCACAAAAGCCTGAATGGTAGGAGAGACAATGTCTATTCTGGCGTTACTGGTTCCTGCATCCTTTTGGCCTCCTTCCTGTGACTGATTCTTCCAGGTGCCTCACCTTGGACTGTGTTTGACTTCATGTCATGACCTGCAATGGGATAGGACCGCTCCTTGACTCAGGTTCCCTCTTTGAGTTTACAAACCTCTCTTGTAGGGTTCTGCTTATTGGACCTCTGCTTTGCCTTCTGACTGTGTTCCTGGACTCCCTTGCCTGGTTTATCTCTTTATTTTGTGTCTGTTGTTTGTGTCTGTTAAAGCAGTGGTCCCCAACATTGGGCCTCCAAACGTTCCTGAACTTCAGCTCCCAGAAATCCTAGCCAGCAGAGGTGGTGGTGAAGGCTTCTGGGAATTGTAGTCCAAGAACATCTGGAGGCCCAAGGTTGGGGACCACTGCCTTAAAGACTTTGCCATCTGATGGACTCACTTATTTTGTGTCTGTTGTCTGTGTCTGTTAAAGCAGTGGTCCCCAACCTTGGGCCTCCAAACGTTCCTGAACTTCAGCTCCCAGAAATCCTAGCCAGCAGAGGTGGTGGTGAAGGCTTCTGGGAATTGTAGTCCAAGAACATCTGGAGGCCCAAGGTTGGGGACCACTGCCTTAAAGACTTTGCCACCTGATGGACCCAGGCAGAAATAGGATATTAAAGCATAAATGGGAAACCCAGAGGATGCATGGAGTAGCAGCAGAGAACCAATTTTGAGAGCATAGTTTTCCATTAGTTTCAACCCAGTGGAAGCTATATGTGATCTTCTATTGTCATTATTTAAAACTGTAATATTTGCTTTGGCCTCTTCTTATTCTGTTTTCCTGACATGCTTTTTTTATTATACAGATTTTCAGCCCTTTTGGCTTTTAGGATCTGACACCCCATTCTCTCAATGCACCCCTTTCTCTCAAGTCACATCATGTTAAAGCACGATTACGGTAAGTGTGCTTACTTTCCAGGTGCGCCTACTCCTAAGTTTGAGCACTGTGGCATTTAGCGTCTCTCATTTGAATTATTATAATGGGTAGTGGTGTTTTATCTAGCCAGGGAAGCCCTTTTAATCAAAATTAATTGCATCCTATTCTCTGCAGCTATAAACTCATAGATGCCTTTGTTATGAGCAATGAAACTCTACATGTAGTGACCCTTGAAGGCGAACCCACCGATGTCCCCTTGAATTCTCTGCTGTTGGTCTTGTAGCACGAATCAATGTAAAATATATAAATATATATCTCCGTATGACTTCCCAACAGGAGAAACAGAGGATCCCAGCACAGAAGAGTTAAGAAGTAATATGCGGTTGAATGCCAGCCATTAAGTTGTAGCCCGTGGACGTACAGACATAAAATATTCCTTTGGTATTGTAAAGATCTTTGAATAGGACCCATTCTTCTTTGGGTGGATGAAGGATGTGGAGGCTCTTGGAGAGGAATATACAACACAGCTGGAAGACCAAAAGCAAACTCATGCATCCTTAGGATACAAAGGCATTAAAGGGAGGAGGTGGTGGTGGGGACACACACCAAAGTCTTGCTTTGTAGAAAGGGGTAAGCAAGAGATAATGAGCTTATATCAAGCTGCAACTTTCCCGGAGTAGAAGAAGGAAGTATACCTTCCACTTTCCTGAGACCTTGTGAAATGCAGAGTAGCCATCTGTACTAGACAGGATAATGCGAATAGTTTAAGGCACCCCTCACCAGGGCACCCGATGACCTCCAGATGTTTGGGACATAACTATAATCTCATAACCATACTGCCGCTGCTACCTCTGGGTAACCAATCTGGGGGAGGCCCGTAAGTCATCTACAAGAGGTCGGGCCTGCTTTGTGGTGGCCCCAACTTCATGGAGCCAGCTCCCAGTGGAGCTACGCCTGGGCCCCTCCTGGTTAATATTTAGAAAGGATTTTTAAAACACTGCTCTTCAGGGAGGCCATCCACACTGACCCTGCTTGATTTTATGCCTCTACTGCTGTCTTGTTGAGAATCTTCTTTTGGTGCTATTTGTTTTATTTGTCAAATGTTTTACATTTCTTAGTAACCTAACATATATGTTTTATTTATTGTTGTTGTAAACTGTCCAGAATGGTGCATTGCACTAATGGGTCATTATATAAACCAAACCAAACCAAACCAAATCAAACCAAACCAAATCAAATCCATCCACCCACCCACCCATCCACCCACCCATCCATCCATCCATCCATCCATCCATCCATCCATCCATCCATCCATCCATCCATCCATCCATCCATCCATCCATCCATCCATCCATCCATCCATCCATCCATCCATCCATCCTTATGTGCTGTCAAGTTGCTTCTGAACTACGACAAACCTAGTAGAGGTTTTGATGTATGTAAGAAATTCAAGGACTGGTTTACCTTTGTTGTTGTTGTTTAGTCGTTAAGTTGTGTCCGACTCTTCATGACCCCATGGACCAGAGCACACCAGGCCCTCCTGTCTTCCATGGCCTCCCAGAGTTGGGTCAAATTCATGTTGATCGCTTCAATGACCCTGTCCAACCATCTCGTCCTCTGTCATCCCCTTCTCCTCTTGCCTTCACACTTTCCCAACATCAGGGGCTTTTCCAGGGAGTCTTCTCTTCTCATGAGATAGCCAAAGTAATGGAGCCTCATCTTCAGGATCTGTCCTTCCAGTGAGCACCCAGGTTTACCTTTACTCCTCACCAATAACTTTCAACAATCAAGAAAGGGGTTGAACCAAGGTTTCCTGAATCTTATAATCTGATACTCAATCCATGGTATCACACTGGCCATCCATGATAATGAGAGCTTCAGCTCTACATATCTGAAGGGCATTGTTTTGTTCTATAATTTTCCAGGATGCTCTTATAACCTTAGATATAGCTTATGACCATTGCAGAGCATGGGATAAAACAGAATCTGGATAGTCCAAGTGGCAAAGCTGATGACTAAATGCTCCCCCATATTGAAAGGAAATCTTGCACACATCAGGGTCAATGAGAATTTAGCCCATAGATCTTCTTGACATACTGGCATTCTGAATCAAGGGGCTGTATGGGAGAAGCGCGTAAACATGGAGCTTGCGTGTTGAAGTTTGGGCCCACCATGCAATGATTTTTAGAAATCTCTGCAAATAACTTAATCACCATAAGGAAGAGATTGAGTTGGAGCACATGGTCCAGTTGACCATTCACAGCTTGCTATTTCCTTGCTTGAGTTTACAAGAGCTGAGCAGGGCTGTTAAGGACGGGACATTTTGGGGAATACTTATTCATAGGGTCACCATAAGATGGAGGTGACTTGACCACATGTAACAACAAGTTACACCTGACTTTTAGTGACCTAAGTTTTCAAGATACACAAGGTATTTAAGGAGTCTTACCAGTATCACCTGAAACTGAGATCTGAACCCAGGTCTCCAGAATTCTTATCCATTCCATTAGCCACTGTGGTAGGATGCTTTTGATAGGAAGAATCAATCTAGCCACTGGCTACTGTGAAGGTTGCACTGCATTCAAGGGGAACAGGGAAGCTTGAAAAGGGGTTTCAGATGCCATCCGTCCTAATAAAAAAATTCCATGTCATTAGCCCTTTGAGTTTGCCACCCCTATAGGATAGAGGTGATAAACCACATCTGACTTAGCATGCACATAAAGTCGTCAACTTCCACTATTAACAACAATTTCTTTAGACAGGAGCAAATATATTTGGATATTCCTGTTTGTATAGTTCTTTGTCTTCTGTTTAGTAGGCTGTATTCTGATACTTAAGGATAGATCAATAGGAGTTTTAGGCTAAATATCAGGAAAAACCTCTTAACTGTTAGAGCAGTACGATAATGGAACCAATGGCCTCAAAAGGTGGTGAGCGTTCCAACACTGGAGCAATTTGAGAGAAAATTGGACAACCTTCTGTCAGATCTGCTTTGATTCGCATTGAGAAGGGGGGGTTGGACTTTATGGCCTTATAGTCCCCTTCCAACTCAATTATTCAATGATTCCAAAACTCTATGTGCTTCTACATCACCCACTTGTAGCAGTTTAATATGCATGGCTTCATTGTACTGTATCCTGGGGCATGTCGTTTTGGGGAGATATTCAGAATTGTCCGTTAGAGAGCTCTAGCACTGTGGTTTGAAGGCGAGCATTAGCCCTTTTTGGCAAGCATTCTCATCCATTGTCAAATCCCAGATTATGAGTATTGCCTTACAAAAATCCTTCATGACGTCACTGTATTTTCTGACTTGGATCCTTCCTGAATTCATTATGCAAAGCATCTCCGATCTACTCAAGGTTAATCGAGATGGGCTTTCAAACTCCACCTCTCCAACATGGTGGAAAGGCAAATCTGCTCACTGGGTGGACAGAGAGGTAGCGCTGGGCAGAATCCACCTTTAGTCGTGAAGTTCCCGAGTCTTCCACAGACATGAATTTCCTCTGCTTTTAGATCTATCTTAGGGGCCTCCCCCAGGAATGTGGCTGTGTCATCGCATCCTTCAGCATTCTAATATATCATACTAAGCTGTAAGCCAATTAGGAATGACTACTTACCATGCTGAATCATAGGAAGAGGAAAGGATAATGTGTCCTTCAGATAATGAATCCCCCTTCACTTCCACCCCCACCCCAGTTTGCTTCAGCAAGATGGATATATATAGAGATTTTTTTCCGTTCCACTCTTTTATTTTTCACCGCATCCAATTAGGTTGTAACTTGCTTTTGAGCTGCATCCATTTCTTTCTCTCTTTCTCTCTCTCTCTTTTTCTTTGTGAGGCGCCTCTTGAAGCGTGATACTGAAACGTCTGACCTGATATTTAATACACTTGGTACTTACTTAGCACCTCTGGTCTTTTGACATCCAGCGCCTTTGTGAAGGTGGATAATGTTCTCACACTTTGATGGGTTGAGAAAGTAAAGCACAAAAGAAGAGGTTGAAACCAGCCTCTTGATACGGTGGCTCTGATCCAAAAGTGTAGCGACAGCTGTGTGTGCCATTTTCACAAGCGGCTAGGAGAGCTGGTGATGGGAGATGTTGATTCCATTTAAAAATCACCCCACCAGTCTGAAGACTTTATACATGTCCAGGGATGGTTTCAACCAAAGAGGGGACACCTTCTGAGGAATGGGAGGGACACAGTGTGTGACCTACACCCCCAACCATCAGGGACTCCTGGATAAGGTAATATGCAAGTCACTCATACAAGGTATGTTCTCTCTGCATGGGAAGAAAATATTGGTTGAGCTATTCAGGCACAAGACTTAGGTTCCTGTGACCTTCAAGCCACGGATAGCACTGGGAATGATTTGACTCTGAAATATAATGATATGGCCATGTCTTAGAATGACCTGGCAGTACTGGATGCTTTTAGTCGCTTTTAGTTTAGTTTAGTTTAGTTCTTCCTCTATGCCAGGGCTGGGAAAGGTGAGACCTTGCTGGAACTGTTGGACTGAAGCGCCGGTCATTCTGCATCATTGGTGAGGCTGGTTCGGGCTGATGGGATTTCCAGTCCAACAGCATGGAACAAATTTGGTGTTTTGAAATTCTTGTGGGAAAGAATGAATGGTTGCTTGATGGGGCCTGATTCAGACTATGTGTTTGCAAGGCAGTGGCCCTGGCTTGGAATTTGGAACCTCTTGGAAAGTAATACGTAATCTCTGGTCACTGATCAGACCTGATTCAGTCTCTAGCCCTCATTAGAGGAGGGCAGACTAGACATTTCAGCACCTTGGAGAGCTACGAGTGAAGACCTTGTTCCATCACATATACTCACTGAAGTTTAGATGGGATATTTTAATATAGACATTTTCTCCTGAACTCCACACCTTCTTGTGAAATTGGAAACCCTGAAGAGGTGGGCTAACCTTTCAAGCCAAGCACTATTTTCCTCTCCAAAAGGCATTCTGTTGTCATTGACACACTGGCACCAGGAGTTGTGGAGCTGCTGGATGAGGGTTTTGTCTCTCTATACCAGCAACGGTGTGTTTCCAGGAGTTTGGAGTTCTCAGACTTGGTAATCTATCCACTCAAAATATTTCTTGACCCAGCATGTTGTTAGTCTGTGGAACTCTTTGCCATAGGATGTGTTGATGGCATCTGGCCTAGATGCCTTTAAAAGGGGATTGAACAGATTCCTAGAGGAAAAGTCCATTGTGGGTTAGAAGCCATGATGAGGATGTACCATCTCCAGCCTTAGAAGGAAGGGACCTCCTAATGCCAGATGCAGGGGAGGGGGATCAGGAGACAGGGATCTCATAGTCTTGTGGGTTCTCAGAGGCATCTGTTGGGGCCACGGGGAGATACAAGAAGCTGGACTAGAGGGGCTCTTGGCCTGATCCAGCAAGGCTCTTC